ATGTATGTATGTATGTATGTATGTATGTATGTATGTATGTATGTATGTATGTATGTATGTATGTATGTATGTATGTATGTATGTATGTATGTATGTATGTATGTATGTATGTATGTATGTATGTATGTATGTATGTATGTATGTACTTATGTAAGTATGTATATATGTATGTATGTATTTATGTATTTATGTATGTATGTATGCATGTATGTATGCATGTATGTATGTGTGTATATGTGTGTGCCATGTGTGTGCATGTAATATGTATATATGTGTGCATGTATGCGGGTGTGTATTTATTTATGTGGGTGTGTATGCATGTGTTTGTAAGTTAGTAAGTTGGTGTGTAAGTGCGAGTGTGTGCGCGCGCTCACGAGCATGTGTATGCATTTTACTACCGATGCTTTTGTGTTTTTCCTTGATATTAATAATGTGCATATTATTGCAGGCGGCGTCCGTGGTTTAGGCGTTGAGAGTCCGACTCGTAATTCCAAAGTATCGCGATCGAAACCCACTGCTTGCTGCTTGGATTTGTGTCATGGTATGGGGCGTCGCTGGTCGACCCAGCCTAAAATAGGTACCAGGATGTATGTCCTTGGGAAGTAAATACCGCCGGTGTAGTGCTGAACACATTACCCATCTAGTGCCGATTGGTCTGTAAAAAATATGGGTGCTCTTCCCATATGCCCGATGCGCCTAAAGGTATAAGACGGGCCTGCGTGCCCAATATGAAACCCTTGACAATAAAGTTTGTTCGTTCGTTTTCCTGTTTTGCTGGAAGGGAGACATTTGGGTGTCTAAGCAGTGTTTTTGCATTTCTTTCGTATACTTTGATGAAATGTAAAATTATAGAGAACACATTGTGCGATGATTGCGACTCACAGAGGAAGATCCAATCAGACAACACTCCCAGCTTGAAAGTGGCAGATTTTAGTCATCACGTTTTCCGACTGTCGGCTGGGATACGTTTGAATATCACATCGAAAGTCTTTCGGTAATTTGAACTCATATTGTAGTACAAGAGGATATTAACACTGGAGTTGATACCATTGAAGACGAAACCAAAAGACCACAGAGATAGACACAGTCTGTGGTAGCGACCTTGCCGATAGAACTCTGGTTCCACGAAAGTCGTCAGACTCAAAGCGGCTCCGGGAATGTAGCAGACGATCAGGACGGTTGCTATGACCACAATCATTTTGACTGTCTTCTTCTCTTTACTGTCCACAGACGCCTGCTGGTCACTTGCGGATGTTGCCCCTTTCCTCCATTGAGCACTCTGCTGCAGTTTGACCGCTAGTGTCACTGTAAACATGATCAGTGCTGCAAAGGAAAGCATGCCCGTGAAGGAGTAGAGGAAGAAGACCAAGGCTACGGCATGTTCTCGGCCACGCCTGTAGGCCATTGCCAGAATTGTTCTGTTGTTTTCTTCCGAAAATTGCCAATCAAAATAGGAAGTAGCGTACTCTGGGACGACAGTTAAGATATTGACAACAAATATCGAACACACAACAGTGGTGGTTCTTGTGGGGGTCACCAGCTGTTTGATCTTGAGAGGGAAAAAAATACACAAACACCTTTCGGCCGTCACGTAAACTGTGATGTAACTAGTGATTCTCCCACAAGCCACATGTGGGCACGCCCCTGTCAGGTACTGGAACTCAATCGGATTCACTGGGATCCCAGAGTTGCTCATGAAAGGGTTCAACCAAACACCGACCCACCACAGAGAAATCAGACCACAAATATCAGAAACGGCCAGTCCGAAGAAGCTGATGTTGACAGTGTTGGAAAATCCTTGTTTCAAGAACACTAGGATGTTAATGATGTTTCCGACTATACCGAACACGGATATCATTATGGCCAGGAACATGTAATTAATGATTTCAAACAGGCCAAACTGGTAATCGTTCAGAATGCCGGTTATTATGACAGTTGAATTCTGAAAAGCAGTCTCCATTTCTGTGATATTGTAGATTTGTATTACAACAGGTAACACAATTAAAACGCCAAAGTATAACTGCAAGTGCGGCCCAGATGTGTCTAAAAAAACAAAGGTGTACATCTTCTGGGCACCTAAGGTTTTCATACTACAATCCTGGCATTGTTTGTGCTAGTTGAAGGTCACTCGGGATTAATATCGTGTTTTTGTCACGACCTGTGGGCGTCAAAATATTCCTGTATCGTGGTATGTAGCATGTCATTAACCCTATTTCATTACTTCAGTCCGTAATGGTGGGTTACGTTTGAATATATCCTGTCTGGTAGCGACAAGGGAGAAAATAATATATGTGGATTGTCGATCAACAATGCACTCACTTCAGCACGATATCTGCATGTAATTCTATAGGACTGTAGCCAATGGCCAAGTTGGCTTTCCGTCACACGGCACTGTTGGTCGCTGTCAGCTGTGTTGTTAGAGTCGATACGTGCTGGGATAATTCTCGTTCTCAGTGCTAACAGTATGTCATCATACACGAAATTATGACCTCTTCATAACAATTTCACGTCGAAGCCATGTTGTTTCTGTTTATCGTAGCAACATTTTGAAGCCTCTTAAATTGCTGTCTTGTTATGACAACTGATATTGACCGACAGGTTAAATAACACGCGGTAAATAATATTTAACATGATGGGTAACAGTCGGGTTTCATCGAGTTGGAGAAAAATAAATGGAATGGTGACGAGTTGACAACATAGTAACTGACAAATCTGACCATGACTATCAAGTTTGATTCTCCCACTTGACGAGCGGGCCTGTTTGAGGTAGCTAGTACACTTCCACCAACGACTGACTGATCAACACAGAAGTAACTTGCTCCGTCAGAGAGGAACAGATCATGTTTAGGTGGCCGGTTCAATCCCTGTGTGGCTGTAACTACCATATTTTCTATTACATAGGAAGATTTTCCGTGTATTCTTATTGTTCATTTATATGATTTCAAGTCGGAATCTGAATTTTTTTTAAACTGTGCCTCTTGGTTCAGTTTCTTACAATACCTGTTTCTCGACACAAGAAAGCTGTGACATTTGGGCTGTTTCTCGACACAAGAAAGCTGTGACATTTGTATTCAACAACAATTTAATGCTACGTCCAAATATGGAATGCTACGTTAGCTGTTACATGATCTATAGATGGCTACATTAGTTGCTACACATCCTTTAGATGGCTACATTAGCTGCTACATGACCTATAGGTGGCTACATTAGCTGTTTCGTATCCTATAGACGGCTACATTAGCTGCTAGTTGACCTATATTTGGCTACATTTTCTGCTATACCACCTACAGATTGAAACATTAGATGATACATGACCTATAGATGGCTAAATGCTACATGACCTATAGATTGCTACATTACATGTTACGTGACGTATAGATGGCTACATTAGATGTGATATGACATATAGATTGCTACATTAAATGTGATATGACATATAGATTGCTACATTAGATGTAGTATGACATATAGATTACTACATTAGCTGTGATGTGACATATAGATTGCTACATTAGATATGATATGACATATAGATTGCTACATTAGCTGTGAAATGACATATAGATTGCTACGTTAGCTGTGATATTACCTATAGATTGCTACATTAGCTGTGATATGACACATATATTGCTACATTAGATGTGATATGACACATATATTGCTACATTAGCTGTGACATGACCAATAGATTGCTACATTATATGTGATATGAAATATAGATTGCCACATTAGATGTGATAAGACACATACATCGCTATATTAGCTGTGACATGACCTATAGATTGCTATATTAGCTGTGACATGACCTATAGATTGCTAAATTAGCTGAAGTATTTCAGTCGCAGCTAACTCATCATATGTATCTTGGAGATGCCAAAGAGATTCTAATGTTTTAGCTCTCTTCTGCCACACATACATGTTGTATCTCTGTGTGTATACATGATTACTTCAACTATTTAGCCGTCAATTTTAAGCTCTTTGTGTATAAGGAGTTAAATTAACAACTGCTTACTGCTTATTGATAAAAGATGTCGGTTTATGCCTTGCAAACTGGCAACATTTACCGTGTGACATTGTCAACATTTACCGTGTGACATTGTCAACATTTACTGTGTGACATTGACAACATTTACCGTGTGACATTGTCAACATTTACCGTGTGACATTGACAACATTTACTGTGTGACATTGACAACATTTACCGTGTGATATTGACAACATTTACTGTGTGACATTGACAACATTTACCGTGTGATATTGACAACATTTACTGTGTGACATTGACAACATTTACCGTGTGATATTGACAACATTTACTGTGTGACATTGACAACATTTACCGTGTGACATTGTCAACATTTACCGTGTGACATTGACAACATTTACCGTGTGACATTGACAACATTTACCGTGTGACATTGACAACATTTACTGTGTGATATTGACATTGCCGACGATAAAATATCTCGCCATATTCTTCTAGCATGTTATGAGCAAATCTGAGATATAAAATAACATAAAAGAAGTGGCCAGAGAGACATCGACAAATCTGACCGAATAAACTGGTGTGGTTCAAATTCAAGGCCAGTCAGCTTCTGAAATACGGCTCTGCTGGCAGCTTGGCAGTCAGTGCTGACTAAAACTGCTGGGTAAACGGATCGAAGTTCATATTTTAGACAAATCGTCACTTAGCGAGTAATGGGGTTAATATCAGACTTCGCGCCTTTACTTCCTATCACATTTTCTGGTACCAATTTTAGACTGGGGCGACCTAGGAGTCCAGGTCGATAAAACAAAATGTCCCTGTCTCCATGGAGACCATAACCCCTCGTCTTCGCGTGGACATGAAAACGGGGAGGCAAGAAGCGACAGTGGGTGCCAGCCTGGGGATACAAACGAGGCGGCAAGAAGCGACAGTGGGCGCCAGCCTGGGAATACAAACGGGGCGGCAAGAAGCGACAGTGGGCGCTAGCCTGGGAATACAACGGGGCGGCAAAGAGCGACAGTTGGCGCCAGACTGGAAATACAAACGGGGCGACAAGAAGCGACAGTGGGCGCCAGCCTGGGGATACAAACGGGGCGGCAAGGAGCGACAGTGGGCGCCAGCCTGGGGATATAAACGGGGCGGCAAGAAGCGACAGTGGGCGCCAGCCTGGGAATACAAACGGGGCGGCAAGAAGCGACAGTGGGCGCCAGCCTGGGGATACAAACGGGGCGGCAAGGAGTGACAGTGGGCGCCAGCCTGGGGATACAAGCCATCAATGTCACATTTCTGCTGGGAGAATAACTTGAGATTTTACTGATTCTATGTGGCAATTACTGAACCCATTGCTTATCAAGACGACGATTTGGGCATATTCGAGAACGGAATATAATCAGTTTGCAAAAAGGGCACACAGTCTCAAGGATGTGGACAGAGAGTCCAGCGAAAGACCAAGTAGAACCAGGTACACTATTATCATCACCATCTGGATAGCCCTTTGCAGAAGGTCGTTATCACTACTGTCTGCCTTAAAGAAACTCCCGCCTCGTGTACTTTCATATCCAAGAAGTCATATTCTGTGCCCATGTTTGTCTAGGTCGACTCCTGCTCCTCCTCCCTAGCACCATGCCTCCTGCGATTACTTCTTCCAATCTGATGTGTTGTTTCAAGTTGATCATGATTTCCTTGCTGGCGCTTAAACAAGACTTGTTGTAATGCTGATTCATCTTTGTTTTGCTACAGCCATCTTTATGTTGACAGTGTAATGAACAGTCTCCACTGTTGTTCAATTTGGAGCCCAGATATTCAAAGTCTGTTACGTTTTAATTTTCTTCATCCGCTGTTGTTATTTGTGGATGTCGGACAGTTGACATTTACATGAAATATAAAACCATAAACACACATCGGTACAACTTGATCAACAGACGTATCTTTAAAATACAAGTTTGCCACCTCTTAACACTGTCATCGTAAAGCTTCAATGGACTAGACACTTTCACCGTACAGATTGAAAGTACTAGACACTTTCGCTGTACAGCTTGAATGGACTGACACTTTCACTGCACAGCTTGAATGGACTAGACACTTTCACTATACAGCTTGAATGGACTAGACACTTTCACTATACAGCTTGAATGGACTAGACAGTTTCACTATACAGCTTGAATGGACTAGACACTTTTACTGTAGTAGACCTTTGAATGTTTGCTTAATCCAATTTGTTTGATCCCACAATAGGCGATTCTACAACCAGACACTCTACTCGTTCATTGCCCCGCACTCTTGCATGCCCTAGACATTAAACCTATACAGTCCATTTGAGACAGAAGTGTTTGTTATCCACGACGGTCACATCTGTCCACTTTAAACTACATGCAAATACCGACTAGAACCAGACACCGTGGTGGCTCTATTCACTTTATTACAGAGGCCCAACTCAAAGACGAGCTGACCGCCTCTACCTACATGCACTGAAACACACTCAAACTCTTAGTCGAAATATCACCATCATCATCATCGTGTACCCTGCCAACTGGCTTAGGCCCTCATGCATCTCCACAGATCACGATCCCTGGTTGCCTGGAACAACTCTCTTGATGATATCCCTCCATGCCATCGTTTCAGCCCATCCAGCATCATCTCTCTTGATGATATCCCTCCATGCCATCGTTTCAGCCCATCGTGCATCATCTCTCTTGGTCTACCTCTGCATCTCTTTCCCTTGATTTTTTCCAATGCCTCTCTTCTCATTACGTGGCCAAAGAACAGTGTTTGTCTCTTTCTTATTGTTGTTTATAGCGATCTACTTTCATTAGCTTCTTTCAAACAATCATTGTTAGTTTCTCTGGCCGTCCAAGGTATTCGTAATATTTGTTTCAAAAACCATATCTCTGTTACTTCCAAATTCTTCTTAATATGTTCAGTAAAATTCCAAGATTGCTGCCGAATTAAAAAAAAAATTTAATTAGTATACAATCAGTTTGAATGCATGTTTTCTTATCTGGACTTTTCCACGTATATAGCCGTCTCTTATGTTGTTTAACCCAGGTGTTTCGAATCATCCTATCATTATTTTTGCACTCCCTACCAGGGTTTCATCTCTTTAATTTCTTTATCTTAAACCATATTACCCAACTATATCTTCCGTTCTCTATTTCCCAACTTTGGCATTAAAATCTCCCAATATTATTTTAATTTCTGGTGATTTTATTTGGGTTTTTTGCCAAATCGAAATCTTCGTAAAATGTTTCTTTTTTTTTTTTTTTTTTTTTTACTGCTTACTAATGTTGGTGCATACACTTGTATTATGTAGTTGAAACATGGCCATTGACAATTGTAGGTGATTGTGATGGGGCAAGCACTTGGGAAATGTTTTGGGAAAGTATGCCCTGCAGAGAGCAGAAGATGAATAGAATCTATGGCTACATCTATGGCTACATCTATGGCTACATTAGCCTTTAACTTGTTCTTTACCAACAGAGGATGTCAGCTGAAGCCAGAAAAGACGTCTGAAGTGCTATATAAAAACTGTGTTCAAACAATAACAGTTCAATGTTCATTAGTTCACTTGACAAAGTATATATGTGGTGTTCTGATGCAGCGTTCTGTTGCGTTGTTGACTTGTTATTTCACACTGTGTGTCATATTTCACGAACTAACATAAATGTATTTTTGCTCGCACTACTTATTGGGTGCAAACAGAGTGTTTTTGTGATTCTCATTTATAACTTTATTTATTAAATAATTTGAGAAATTACTGATTTATTTACTGACATTTTTTCGTGGGTATTTTAGCAATGTGAGTCATTTATGACAGTTGTAGATTCTTACTTGCTGAAAAAAAAAAAGAAAATAGGAGATTTGTTACCGGACATGCTAACACTCTAGATGTGGCTGAAGACCCATAATGTTCCTCCGGAGTTTACAACCGGTGAATGCTAAATAGAAGAAGAACTGAAGTGCTTCCCAAAATACCATGCACCAAAAGGAAGTAAACCATTGACATCCTAGACGATTCGAGCACTGAGGGAAAAGTGGCACATAAACAGCATCTTGTTCTGACAGCTGAGCTGTTTTGGCCATGTTGAATATCATGGTGGATGTTGAATATCATGGTGGATGTTGAATATCATGGTGGATGTTGAATATCATGGTGGATGTTGAATATCATGGTGGCCTGGTGAAAACTGTGATGAAGGATAGAAAAAAAAGGGGTGGAGGGGGATGGGGGGGGGGGGGGGGGTGCGGAAGGCTGTGTGAGTTACAGTCTCAGGAAAATGAGGCGGAGGAGGAAGAGCGCGATACAAGGTTTTAGGATTGGCTAGAGAATGAAAGAGACTTTCGGGTGTTCAATGGCGACAGCGACATTATGTAAGGGGCCAATGATTTTTAGCAATTCATCGAGAGAAAAAAGGAAATCTCCAAGGCGATTCAAACAGAGGATCAAGTGACTGGCAGGCGAGCGTTTGTAGCGTTATAGATAACTGTGGTAAGAAATGACAGGGCTAGCTAAGTCTCCCACAAACATGCGCTTCCAGATCTCTCCCACAAACATGACCTACCGGGTCTCTCCCACAAACATTGCTACAAGGTCTCTCATACAAACATGCGCTACCAGGTCTCTCACACAAACATGACCTACCGGGTCTCTCACACAAACATTGCTACAAGGTCTCTCACACAAACATGCGCTACCAGATCCCTCCTACAAACACGCGCTAAAGAGTCTCTCTCCCAAACATGACCTACCGAGTCTGTCTCACAAACACTTGCTACCAATGCTCCTGCAAACATCTGGTGCCATACCTGTCCATAACCTGACCTCATGGGCAGTGTCTCAGCTCTAGCATCTGACCTCATGGGCAGTGTCTCAGCTCTAGCACCTGACCATGTGGGCAATGTCTCAGCTCTAGCACCTGACCTTGTGGGCAGTGTCTCAGCTCTAGCATCTGACCTCGTGGGCAGTGTTTCAGCTCTATCATCTGACCTCATGGGCAGTGTCTCAGCTCTAGCACCTGACCTCATGGGCAGTGTCTCAGCTCTAGCACCTGACCTCATGGGCAGTGTCTCAGCTCTAGCACCTGACCATGTGGGCAATGTCTCAGCTCTAGCACCTGACCTTGTGGGCAGTGTCTCAGCTCTAGCATCTGACCTCATGGGCAGTGTCTCAGCTCTAGCATCTGACCTTGTGGACAGTGTCTCAGCTCTAGCATCTGACCTTGTGGGCAGTGTCTCAGCTCTAGCATCTGACCTTGTGGGCAGTGTCTCAGCTCTAGCATCTGACCTCATGGGCAGTGTCTCAGCTCTAGCATCTGACCATGTGGGCAATGTCTCAGCTCTAGCATCTGACCTTGTGGGCAATGTCTCAGCTCTAGCATCTGACCTTGTGGGCAGTGTCTCAGCTCTAGCATCTGACCTTGTGGGCAATGTCTCAGCTCTAGCATCTGACCTTGTGGGCAGTGTCTCAGCTCTAGCATCTGACCTTGTGGGCAGTGTCTCAGCTCTAGCATCTGACCTTGTGGGCAGTGTCTCAGCTCTAGCATTTGACCTTGTGGGCAGTGTCTCAGCTCTAGCATCTGACCTTGTGGGCAGTGTCTCAGCTCTAGCATCTGACCTCATGGGCAGTGTCTCAGCTCTAGCACCTGACCTTGTGGGCAGTCTTTTATCTCTAGCACCTGACCTTGTGGGCAGTGTAATAAGTGGTGTATGTTTCTCCTCGTTTTCTAGGCAGTGTTCATGCGTGTGTGGTGGATGATCTTCTCACACGCTCCACGTTACACAACTGGCACAAGCCGACACCGATTTGAGCTTACGAGACATGAGTTTATTGACGTATTTACAATTACATACAAGAATGTCCTGTCGGTGTCCTAGCAAACAGCTCTCGTACCCAAACTCATGCAGCCTTCAACGAACAGTCTTCTTCAAGCATTCACTGACCAAAGTCGGCTACCGTGGATTCACGTTGAGGTTCTGGCCATCTCACACACTGGCATGGTCGATCTCGGCTTCACACTTCGTCGGCAAGGTCTCCTTTCTCCACAAGCACTCTCACGTTGACATTCGCACTTTCAGTCGTACGTCCTCTCACTCCAACAGGTCGACACAAACTAACCTTGACCAGAGTCAAGTCTGACTTATACCACGGGTTCGTTTCACGTGACAACACGTGGTGGTCCTTTACTTTTCACGTGGCAACCTTGGGTCGCATCATCGTGGTCGTAATAACTAGTGGTTAGTCACCTA